GATGAAGCTTTCGAGTCCTTCGTGGAATAGAGCATCATGGTGGAAAATCAGACTGAAAGGAAGATCAAGATCCTGAGAACTGATAATGGTCTCGAGTTCTGCAACACCAAGTTTAATGACTTCTGTAAAGAAAAAGGTATTGTGAGGCATAGAACTTGTGCCTACACGCCACAACAAAATGGCATTGCAGAAAGAATGAATCGTACCATCATGGAAAAGGTTCGAAGCATGTTGAGTGACTCAGGGTTACCAAAGAGATTCTGGGTTGAGGCAACACATACTGCAGTAACTGTGATCAACAAGACACCATCAGCTGCATTAGCTACAGAGATACCAAACAGGAAATGGACAGGAAAACCTCCGGTCTACAGTTACCTCAGAAGGTTTGGATGTTTGTGTTTTGCACATTCAGATGAAGGAAAACTCTCACCGAGAGCAAAGAAAGGAGCTTTGTTGGGTTATCCTGAAGGTGTCAAGGGTTACAAGATATGGCTGTTGGATGAAAGGAAGTGCATTATCAGCAGAAATGTACTATTTCAGGAGAACGCAGTATACAGAGATGCAGTGCAGAGCAGTAAGGAATCGGCGAGTGATCAGACTGAATCAGGAAGCTCACTACTGGAATTGGATCTTGAGGAGGAAGTGGTTATTCCCTCTGGTGGAGATTTCCCGGAAGAGATAGTATCCCTGGGAAATGAAACACCAGTTCAGAATAATCAACAACCAGAACAAGAAGGTCCAGATGAGGTTGCAGAAGAAGCTACAAAGAATTCACCAGAGAGCTATCACCTGGCTCGAGATAGACAGAGGAAAGAGCCAAGAGCTCCAAGAAGGTTTGACATAGAAGGATACTTTGGTGAGGGGATAGAAGACAAAGACGAAAGTCTCATTGCAGAAGCTCTAATCACTACGGTCGATGGAGACAAACTGGAACCTGAAAACTATCAAGAAGCTAGAAGAGATGATGACTGGGAACTCTGGAATGGAGGAATGGACGAAGAAATGGCTTCACTGCTGAAAAACTTCACCTGGACTGCAGTTGAGAGACCCAAAGATCATCGTGTCATTGGGTGCAAATGAATTTACAAGCGTAAGCCTGGAATTCCTGGAGTTGAAGAACCAAGATACAAAGCAAGGTTGGTTGCCAAGGGGTATGCACAGAGAGAAGGAATAGATTACACAGACATTTTTCACCAGTGGTAAAACATGTGTCCATAAGGATATTGTTGGCTATTGTCGTGGAGGAAGATTACGAGCTTGAACAGTTAGATGTCAAGACCGTGTTCCTTCATGGGGAACTAGATGAAAAGATCTACATGGAGATTCCTGAGGGATATGAAGATCAGTTCAAGCCAAATCAAGTGTGTCTGCTAAACAAATCCCTCTATGGTCTAAAACAGGCACCAAGGAAATGGAATCAGAAGTTTGATGGGTATATGAGAGAGATTGGTTTTGAGAAAAGCCCTCATGAGAACTGTGCTTACATTAAGACACTCACGGATGGCACCAAGATGTATCTCTTGATTTATGTTGATGACATGTTGGTGGCTGCAAAAGACAAAGAGGCCATATCTGAGCTAAAGCAACAACTGAGTATCAAGTTTGAAATGAAAGATCTTGGAGCTGCAAAGAAAATTCTTGGCATGGAGATCACAAGAGACAGGGAAAAAGGTGTGTTAAAACTGTCTCAAGAAGGATATCTGAAGAAGGTTCTGGAGCTGTACAAAATGGGAGAAGCCAAGCAAGCAATCACACCCCTTGGGGCTCATTTGAAAATGTGTTCAGCAACAGAACATGAACTTCACAAAGATAATGAATACATGAAGACTGTGCCTTATGCTAATGCTGTAGGGAGCATCATGTATTCTATGATCGGCACCAGACCTGACTTGGCGTATCCTGTGGGTATCATTAGCCGTTTCATGAGCAAGCCTGTGAGAGAACACTGGCTTGGGGTCAAATGGGTACTAAGATACATTAAGGGAACGTTAAAGATGAAGCTCTGCTACAGAAAGGGATCAGAATTTGTTCTCAGAGGATACTGTGACTCTGATTTCGCAGCAGATCCAGATAGAAGAAGGTCTATCAGTGGTATGGTGTTCACACTAGGTGGGAACACAATCAGTTGGAGATCAGCATTGCAGAAGGTGGTTGCTCTCTCCACCACAGAGGCCGAGTACATGTCCTTAAATGAAGCTGTCAAATAAGCTATTTGGCTAAAGGGTCTAATGGAGGATTTCGCTTATCAGCAGAAAGCAGTGGAGATATTCTGTGACTCTCAGAGTGCCATAGCGCTTTCAAAGAATAATGTCTTTCATGAAAGGACAAAGCATGTGGCCGTTAAGTACCACAAGATCAGAGATACCATTGCAGATGGTATTGTTGAAGTTTTGAAGATATCCACGCTAAGTAACCCAGCTGATATATTTACCAAGATTTTGCCTGTAAGCAAATTACAATGTGCATTGGATTTGCTGAGGGTAAAAGCTGAGTAAGAAGACTCAGGGAATCCGGGATTGGAATCCGGCTAACTAGATCACATTTCTGTCTCTCAAGGTAATTTGTTTATGTTGTCTTTGGTTGATCTGTCAATACTAGGTGGAGATTTGTTGGCTTTAGTGTTGAAGATCAAGACAAAAGGAACAATAAAGCAACATAGTACAAAACGTGGAGAGGAAGCCGTTTTGTCGCTGAAGGCCAGCTCAAGATCAGTCTGATGCAGGACCACACCAAAGTAGCCGTTTGCTTTAGTTCATTAAATGACTAAGGAGAAGTTGTTTGTCTCTTGGCGATTATGGGCCTATTTGGTTCAAGTTTCAAGCAATCAAGGGAAAGGCTTCTTGTCGTGAAGCATCAAGAGAGAGACTAGGTCGGTTCATTGAGCAGATATAAGAGGCATATAGAGTGACAAAACAAAGTGAAGAAAAGGGAGAGAAAAGCTTTTACATTGTATAAACTTGTTAAGTGTTTTCTCGGGAAACAGGGGTAGAGAGAAAAACAGGGAAAAAGCTTGTAAGTGGGAGAGAGCTTGTTTCGTTTTTCGATCTCTTGTAACCTCTACATGATCTAGTGGATTCCGGGAGAGAGATCCCGGCGAGACGTAGCGACCCTTATTGGGCGTGAACTCGTTAAACTTGCATGTGTCGTCTTCTTTCTTTATCTGTGTTTAACTCTGTTCTTGTTGCATCGTGTTCTCTTCCAAGATTGACTCTTCTCAGTTTACATCTCAGTTTTTGGTTTTCTCAAGCCTGTTCGTGGTTTCTAAGAGTCAAAGTCGTCGCCTTTTATCGAAGATTCACAACATATAGTATAAAGCTTTAATAGAAAATTCTTTTCTTCACTTTTCCAAAAAATTCTATATATACAAAATGAATGCAAATAGAACTTTTATAAGCTCATACCATTAACTTTACAAACTAATAAAATATGAAATTAAGATATAGAAAATAAATGAGAAATTAACAAAATGGACGTGATCTCGGATGATTGATAATTGATTGACGAGCTCTTGGTCTTCAAAATATTCTAATTAATGTTGCTAGCTGGTGGACCATGATTCTTGATTCGAAGAAGAATCTGGACGCCTCTTTGTATTGATTAAGGAGCTTCTACACGGTGGAGTGATCATACGAGCAATCTTCTTGTTAAAGTAAAATATTCCACAGCTATTTGACGTCTATGAAAACATCTGCCTCCTCTAGAGTATTCGAAATTTTAATATGGAAAGCTCGTAATCTGATGATTAATAAAAGAATGTTCTCCTTTGGGCTTGTAAACGCCTATACCCATATCTTTACGTCTTGGAGCAACATTTTCGATGAGTTTCTGATTTCAGATTTGCATCATCGTGTGTATAGTATTGCTTTGTAACCGAGATAATAGGTTAACTTAATCTCTACTAATATATCTATATATATATATATATATATATATTCTCTTGATTAATAGTGTGGAACAAGAGTTTCCACCGAGATGTATACAAATTGATGAAAAACTCATAAATTGTTCCGCTTAAATTGATCCGTAATGATTTGATAGGATAGATGTGTAAATTTATAATCAAGATTAAAGAATCAACTCAATACATTGTGTGTTTCTTTTGTCTGCTTTTATATATCAGAAATTTATTATAGCTGTTCTCAATTCAACCAAGTTCATTGTAACCTAATCTCTTTTTTTTTTGTTTTGTTGTTGTTTTGACAAAACTATAACCTAATCTTAGAGATAATTCCGAAACTGAACTTATCAAAAATGAAATACACAATATTTTGGGCAAAACTATCCATTTCGAGATAAATTTTTTATCCCCACCTTGAATTGACTATTATGTTCTCCATTTTTAAAAATAATTTTGCTCGAGATTATTAATTTTATTGAAACGAGTATAAGAAGGGAACAAGATTAAGATGTAGTATTCGAATTACTAGTTTAACTTATCTTCAAAAAATTCAAAAATTTCCAAAGTTTTTGGAATATATATGACCCAAAATATTTTATGAGCTGGATTTTAAATACCTGAATTTTTCAATCCATCTCTTTTTTTTTTTAAATCAGGAAGATTTATATATACATTTTTTTTGTTAAAGTGGATTTTTATTTTCAGTATTCCAGTTATCTGTTTTCATCTATTTTCTGCAATTTTTCATCCCAATACTTGAAATGAACATGCATACTTTGAGGTTACCATCATTATTATACTTGATATGGCACACATATCAGTCACGTAGCAAAATAATAAATTGAAAACCCCCAAATCGTCATAGTAGCAGTAATAACCTAACATGGACACAGACTCTGACAAACAAACAACCGATAAAGTCGTGGATAATTTGTTCATTCCTTTAAAAGCAAAACGGAATCTAACGTAAACTTACTTATTTTGTCAACTTTCACAATTTACGCAAGCGAATTATTTGGGCCGATGAATCTAGTCCAATGGGCTGATTTGAGCCATTTACGGGAATTGGGCTTATATAGGGTAATCCCACAAGCAGTAGATTACGCTCTCATAAATATTTATTCGTCGCCACTGTAAACTGAGGATATCCAGAAAAAGGGTTAGTCTCGCTGCGCTGTTTAAGGGTTTCGTTTGTTACCAAAGGAAGAAGAAGAAGATGCCAGGACCAGTTGTTGAGGAAGTTAACATTGAGGAGCAATTGATGGAAGCCATCAAAGAGCAAATGAAGCTCGAGGTTCGTTTTCCTTTATTTCTCTCTATTTTTGTTTTTGTTTTTATTTTAAGCGAGTCGAAGCTGTTTAACGATTTTGTTTTCGCGTGTGGAGCAGAAGGAAGATGATGTTGTTGTTGAGGATGTGAAAGACGGAGAGGATGACGACGACGACGATGACGATGAGAACGTCGATGGTATTTCTCTCTTTTTCTCTCGATATGATTTGATTTTGTTTAATGTGTTGATTAGAGTGGTTAGAAATCTTTACCGGAATAATTTATGTGGATTTGTCATTGAATCTGTGTTTCTCGTTTGTGAGTTTTGTATAAATTTGCTTTGGAGATGCGATTTCTAGGGTTTTGTTTCCTCATGATTTTTGTGATTATGTGTATGTGTATGTGAAAAGAAGCTGGTGAGAATGAGAGTTCAAAGCAAAGTAGAAGCGAGAAGAAAAGCCGCAAAGCAATGCTGAAACTTGGAATGAAACCAGTCACAGATGTTAGCAGAGTGACAATCAAGAGATCGAAGAATGTAAAAAAAATTTGACATCACTTTGTGTTTTCTAATCAAAATCTTTTCTTGTATATATACCAATGTTTTTGATTCTGAATCTTCTTCTTGCATCTCTCAGGTTTTGTTTGTCATCTCGAAGCCAGATGTTTTCAAGAGTCCCAACTCTGAGACCTATGTGATATTCGGCGAGGCCAAGATTGATGACATGAGCTCTCAGCTACAAGCACAAGCTGCTCAGAGGTTCAAGATGCCAGACGTTGCGTCTTTGACTCCTAACGCTGATGCTTCTGAAGTAGCCACGGTTGCACAAGACGAGGAAGATGATGAAGATGTTGATGAGACTGGTGTTGAAGCCAAGGACATTGATCTTGTGATGACTCAAGCTGGTGTCACAAAGGGCAAAGCTATTAAGGCACTTAAAGCTAATGATGGAGACATTGTTTCCGCCATTATGGAACTCACTACATAGGTTTTGAGTTGCAGAACATAGTTCTCAGCGACGGGTCCTTTCCTTTTCAATCCACTTCTCTTTTCGCTAAGTATTTTTCTTGAAGATTATTTGTCTTTTCTCGACTTTTTAAGGCTATTTTTTTCTTCTCTGAGCCATAAATGAAGCTGCTTTAAATCTATGGTATGAGACATTTATGTCTGATGTTTTAGACAGTTTAGTAAGAACGATATAAGAGATCTGTTTTTACATATCATTCAACCAAGAAGATTGGCATATTCAGAACTGAAAAAGACAACAAAATTGATTACAAGTTTGGTGTGTGTTAAGAGTTTAAACAGAACAGAATCAGATTCTCATGTCCTTCCTAGCTTTGACTTTTCAAACTACTAATACACTTCCTAGCAAAATTTCTCTAGCTCTGTTTCATAACATACTTAAGTTTCCATGCTCGGACCTGAGATTCTGAGGCCGCTTGAACTTTCAATATGCTCACCTGCAAAACCAAAAACAAAACGCTCAAGAGGACCTCATACAGAAACAGTAACTGATCTTTGACAACGTTGCTATGAAATAAAACTTGGGATGATATGGTCTCACCTTAGTCTCAACTCAGTCTCTCAAAGTTTGCTCAAGTTGTTGTTTTCGAGAGAAGTGTTTCATATTCCATCAAAGACCTGTCTGCTTTAGCCTTGAGCCATAAACTTTTATAGAATAACACTTGTGGGTTGATTCGCTCTTCTGTTTGATGATTCCTTACAACCTGCACATTGTCAAACCGATAGTTTATCGTCCTCGAAACACCACGATTTCATGCCTCAAAAATATATAATTACAGACCATACCGGGCCAAAGCCATTTTCTTTCGTCACACCATATTCAAATTGATAAGCTGCTCCTGTTTCCCCTGAGACCACGGGGTACTTTTCTTTCCTTTTAACATCAACGTTGGCACTCATATTTTTCGCCTTTAGTATCTGAAGGTCTCTAATCGATTGCTATAGAGAACATTTGGAATCATAGAGATAGATTAACACATGATCATTTCTGTATATCTTCAAGAAATAATGCAGAGGTTATCCCACCTGCCTTTTACAGGAATATTGTAGAGGCGAACATGGGTAAAACAAAACCGTTAGTTAGAATATTTGGCGGGAAGGTAAAGTTAAAAAAGAAGAAGTATATTAGCAGGAATATTGATGCAAATGTTCCTATTTCACGCGGTTCTATACGCTCCCTGAATTCCCATGTGCTTAAAGATAAATGTTTCGATGAGCTACTCACACCCACTAATGCATCAGAGCCTACATAGACTTGACAAAAGAACATACCTTACTCATATTAGGCAACAACTTTGAATCACATGAGCTGTGTAAAGCGCTTGAATACTTCCCAGAATGCTGCTGATTTCTATTATTGATGTACGATTTGAGATTCTGTACAGTACAGTTGATGAGATCAAGATCTTGCTCATTTGGTGAATCTGAAGTTCCTGAGCTGTGTACGTGTGTTAGCAACTCTGACAGTCCATGGATCGTTGTAAGGAGTTTCGTAACATCCATTTGTGGAGAAGAATTTCCATGTAAAATGTTGGGACGGAGACGTCCATGCATCGAGGATTGTGCTAACTCTGCATGTAGCTCTTCTTGGTTACTATAGCCATTTGGAGAGAACAAAACCGAACTATACACATTGGGTGGTATATCATTTGCAGCTTGGTTTTTCTCATAGCCATATACTTTTGGTTTGGTATCTGCTAGCGAGAACTGTGGGGCGAGAGGATTTAGCTTCTTCGGACAATGAGACTTGTTGCTGGAAGGATCTAGTTTTGTATTCTCAGAAATCTGAACTTGAGATCCAAGACGAGGGTTGAGTGAATAAGTTTTTCGTAACTGATGAACACTATTAGAGTATGGATTCCTAAAACTGTGGCCGACCTCTGAAGAATGTGTCTCAACCTTTACACGATTTAGCAACAAATCGTCTGAAGAACTTAAAGCGTAAGCTGAGTGAGCGTTTGTCTCAATAGCTATCATGTCATCTGCTGCACCATGCTTCTCTTTTGCATTAGCAGGAACAAAAACAGGGGCCAAAGGATCAAGCCTTTTAGGCGTCTGGAATTGATTGCTAATCTCCAATAAGCTCATAGTCTTGGAAACACCAACTTGAGATACTAAACCCAAACTTTCATCAGCATCGTTAAACAGGATTCCTATACTATTCTTTTGCCTGGAGTCTTGTTCAATCCCAGCATCAGAAGGATCGTTTACGCTGAACTCTCCCGAGGATGGTAGAAAGGTTGAAGACAGAGACTTTTTCAAAGACGAAGAACAGTTTTCTTCAAATTCTTTCCCATTATCGTCTAAGTTCTTCTTAGCGTTTGATGGTATAAACTGAGGTGCCAAAGGATTCAATCCATAAAGAATATTCAGATCATCGGTAGAACGCCTGAAACTCAACGACTTAGTGGTACCTGAAGCCGCAGTGTTGTGAGACCTTGTTCCTTTCCAGCACGGAGAGTCCACCTCAGCATCCTCATCTTGATCACAAGGTATACAAGATTTCAACATCTTGGAGAAGAGTGGACTAGAATTGCTATCTTTGCTAACCAGAACTTCCCTCGAGCAAACTTCATTGTCCTTGGCGCAACGAAACAGTCCCTCACTAGCTACCGTAGCATTCTTAGCCACTGGAGATATACTGGAAACTCCAAGAACCGATGCTGTTTTTGGAAAATTCAGAGCACGAGAGTCGCTTGTAGCATCCATAGCTAACGAAGGTGAAATCCGAGGCTTAGAATCGAAACACTTCAAATCAGATTCAAGAACATTCGGGAGTTTGACAAATGAAGCAGACTTTTCACTTCTCCTTAAACCATATAGCTCAGATTCTTCCGCTACATGCATTCCAAAGGGAAAAAATTCTCAAATATTGTCAATACAAGAGCACATCAAAGTATCAGAAAAAACTCAATTCCAGATTTTCATGCTTCATAAACTACAAATTGGAAACCTAACGAGTCTCTTCTATAGATTCAGGTGTACAATCGTATTTCAAGTACATAGCATGAACAACATTTGAGAGGAGAAAAATCAATGAAATTCACCTTTAGGAACAGTGGTCGAATCCGAAGGGCGTGAAAGATTAGATAGAGAATCAATATCATCTTCGAGGCCGTTCTTCTGGTCGTCGGAAGTTAGAAAGGAGAAATCGAAAGCAAAATCACGCCAGAAGGAATCTTCGGGATCGGATTCAGAAGCAGGGAAAGATAAAGAGGAAGAACCAATGGCGAAAGGTGAAGCGAAAGGAGAGAGACCATGATCACACTGCTTCATCTTGTGGAGAGATTCGAGAAATGTGTGGATAGTGTAGTGAAAATTGGATTAACGAAGAAGAGAAGGGATTTACGGAGAAGAAGACCTGTTTCTACCTTTCCCCTCCATTTTTTTTTTCTTTTCACTTTTTTTTGGGATCAAATTTCGTTTTCACTCAATATTTTTAACGAATGAAATCTTTATTTGTTAATTTGGACTAAAGTTATGGAAGTGCAATATCACCCAAACACAAAGTTATAAAAGGTGCAAAATCACCCTAATACATAAACTAAGGTAGCTACATACATTCGATTTGTCTAGTCCAAGTTAAAATGGATAGGTGACGCTGATTTGTCTAATGGATTACATACGCTAACAAAAATTAGCCAAATTTGAGTGGTAATTAGCCCCAACACTATAAACTTAGCAATTTGTTACACAAATGAGAGGAAAAAAACACAAAATAATAGAAACGCTAAAAATGAGGGTTAATAATAGTATTATTCAAAATTTTCAAAGTTATTGTGCATGATCATCTTAAGAGCCATGACTCTATGATACCCAAAACGGGTTTACTTATTAGAGCTTGAGTAAAAAGGTAAACATATGATGGATTCAAAGCTTATTTAAGATTATTATCCGAGTTCTTTATAATCTTAGGTATCACCAGAGTCGGTCCGACCCTAAAACCCATGAAGCAAGGACTTTAGAACAACAAAAAAACTATCACGTTTAGGGCATAAAAAAAGTCCAAAATTTTTTTTAAAATGTGTTTTAACTTTGTTCCACATCGTCGGAGTCAAAAAAAAAAAAAATTTGCATTATAAATAAAAGTCATTATTCACTCTTTATTCTCATTGATTTTTAAGCTTAAAATTGATTTTTTTTAAAGCTTAAAATCAAAAGTAATACATGAAAGTGATACCCAGGACAGGTCCAAAGTCATATGACGCTTATAGTGAAATAAAAAACAAATTTTATGCCATATTTTTTAATTTTTAAAGCTTAAAATTGATTTTTTTTAAAGCTTAAAATCAATTTTAATCCTAAAAAATAAATTTTAAGCTTTAAATATTAAAAGATATGGCATAAAATTTATTTTTTATTTCAATTAAAGACATCATTTTTAATTTACGCTTTAAGCGTCATATGACTTTGGATCTGTCCTGGATATCACTTTCATGTATTACTTTTGAGTCTATTTATCTATCTCTTATGGCTTTATGTTAAGATCAAAGTCTTTATAGAAGATTACTTTCTCCGAATCCTGAGACCAGGTTGTTAGATTATGGGGCGGACAAATGGATCACCTACATGTGGATCTTAGAGCATATATATCCCTCATCTCTTCATAGAATTTTTAAGATTTTTAAAATAATTAAATTTTGAGTAGTAAAAAGTTAAGAAAACCACTTGCTTTAAGAAGAGGTCACGTTTTTTGACCCAAAATTTTTTCTTCATCCTAAACTAATTACAGGATACCACATGCTTTAAGAAACTCATAAGAGAAGGTTCTTAATTAGGGATTTTAAAGAGTGGTTTTAAAAATTTTTATATATTTTTTTTTATTTTTAAAGTCGCTAAGAATCTATGCAGGTTTAGCGATGAAGATGGTCTTACGTATGAGTCACGTAACCCATAGTTTTGGTCCAACTTGAGTTTCTAGGACATGCCATTAACGCACAAAAATGAATGAAAAAGGTTGACGAGCTATTTCTCTTAAAAAATTATACATTTAATAGTTCTCTATGTTCCATAGATGATAGTTCTCTACTGATTTCCACACACGATATATCTCTATCGAATCCTTATCAGATTGAATTTCATATAACTGAATTTAACTGTTTTTATTTTTTAACTGGTTTTATTAGATAAATGAACCAAGTCAAAAGGAAAATTTCAGAAAACTTTTATGATATAAGTTTTCAAAAATAAATCGTAAGAATAAAGTTTTCAAAAATTTAATTTGTATAAATATGCTTACAGTTTATAAATTTTCTTTATTTTTATAACAACTACCTTGTAACACTACAAAAAAAGTGTGTTTAGCATCATTTATTTTTTATATTTACATCACTTATATCTGATATAAAATTGTTTTGCATCACTTAAATAAGTGATTCTGAAAGTGGTGATGCAAATAGTTTGCATCAGTTATAGAAATTGTTACATCAATTTTTAGAATTGATGTTAGTATGTATCAGTTGCAAGAAAACAATGGTAACATTTACATCATTTAATATAATTAATGCTAATATTTGTTTCGATTATTATAATCGATGTTAAATGATATATCATTTAAAATAAATGATGTTAATATTTATATGATTTGTACGTAATTGATGCTAATATTAGTATCAGTTTTAAAAAATGATTGTAATAGTTGTATCACATATAATAACTGATGGATAAGTATGTTCTGGTTTACATCATTTTATAGAAAAAATGATGTTAATCTGATCTAATCATAATTTAGCATATTAAAAATAAATTTAATTAATTAAAAGATAATATTAAATTATTCAATTAATAAAAAAAAACTAATTCAAAATTGCATATTAATATATTAAAAACTGAATTACATACATCATCTACTCGTACATAATGTAAAAAATGTATAAAAAATAATTTAAATCATGAAAACTGATAAAGCTGAACATGTCCACCACATAATCTTTAATCATATGACCGTCTAATTTCCGTTCGTATCATCATCTATTTTCTAGAAGAAAAAAATAGACAACAAATTAGTATATCATCTAAGTAAAATAGACAACAAATTAGTATATCAACCAAACAGCCATAAAATTTTCAGTCGATGCACTTGCCTAAGTAAACATTATAAAATATCAGTTTTATATCATAGATTATATGAAGAAACCGTTGTCAAAAAAAAAAAGATTATATGAAGAGACTAAAACTTACCTGTTTGCAAGCTTGAGCATCAAGTATCTGTTGGATGAACATAGTCATAGATTTTTTTCTTCTACTCCTTTGATGTCAATGAGACAAACCCTCGAAAGTACATTGAAGTTATTACCGACAGAAACCAAAGCAAACTAGGAAACCATCAATAAAATACTAGTAGCACACTAAAAGAGTAGGAAAGAAGACAACAATAGATAGCTAAAACACGGACCTTTAGTAGAGGAATATGAATATCACTTAATGTATCGTTTGGAGTAAGCAGAGCTGTTTCGAACACCTCCGCTGAAAACTCAGCAATGATTTTCAGTAGCGATCTAAAAACCTTCACCATTCAAAAAATGAGAACTTGGGAGTGAGTTCGCTACTCATTAGCAACTAAGAACCAGTAGAGGAACAACAACAGCAAAAAAAAGACACAGAGAATTGAAGAGAACAGAGAGCTCACATGCAAGAAATTGAGTACGGAAGCAAGTTCCCACATGGAACGAAGATGCCATCGCGGCATCTGTGAAGGAAGGACAAGAGAAGTAACGATTATTGGCTTCAATTAACAGATCACCTGTAGGAATGAACTTTATTTTCTTGCCATCAAAATAAATGGGCTACGTTACTTTAGCCAATAATTTTTCTAGATTTGCCACTGTAATCAGAAGTGGCTGTAGAAGTTTTTAGGATGAAAGCTCCCAATGCCCAGTCTAGTGGTATGCCTTTTTCTCCTGCTTTATTTGCAAACTCGGTTCTGCAGACAAAACAAACATATTGTTTTTGATCTAAAATCATATAAAAAAACCGACAGTGATTGATACAAGCGTACTTGAATTTGTGGCAGTAACAATTTACCTTTGACCATCAGGAGCAAAACCAAGACTATGGTGAAGCATTGAGATAATATATGCTGATGAGAAGCAATATCCATGCAAGTACTTTTCTTTTGTTTTGGTAAAAAAAAGTACTTTCTTTTGTTGTTGGGTATTTTACTTTCAGTTTCGACCATTCTTTTTTGCAGAAACTATTGCCGGCTAAAGTCAATCTAGACAGCCAATTCTTTTCTTTAAGCCCAAAAAAACTGATCCAGACAGAAACATGAGACCAAATGTTCAGACAAATTATCCACAAATCATGACATTGACTAACATGAATTCAGGGGATTATGTACCTCCGAGGTGTAGTAGAAATTTTCTGTCGTCAAAAACATTCCTTGAAGATCAGGTGTGAACGTGTCCAATAGAACAATGCTTAGAAGAAGAATTCTCTGTGCACAACAAAAGCTGCATCCATGAGAGATCCAATAATATTGACACTGAGCAACGAAGATGCCTCCTACTCATCCTCTTGATCGTCCACATCCTCATCTTCCTCCTCCACCTCATCCTCTCTCCGTCATGCTCCCGTTTCTACTCCCTTTTGGGCGGCCTGAGCTTTTGCTCTGCGGCTTGCTGCTCTTGAAGCCGCTGCTGCGCCCAAGTGCGTTTCTCGCAAAGAAAAAAAAAAACAGTGTAAGTGTGTGAAGGCCTCGTTCTCCTAAGCGCCGTAGTGTCCTCCGTGGGAATTTCCGCATCCGTGACTGTAGAACCATCGCCGGCGGGAGAGTGGTGGTTCCCGGAGACATCATGGTCAAGGGAGATCCGCCAGGGGCAATATCGGAGGAGGAACCCATCAAAAGAATAGAGATCAAAGAGAGAGAGATATACTGAAATTGTTTTTTTTCTGGTTTGAAGCGGAGTTAGAGATTGTTTAGGGAGACGAAATCAAAACCCTTGGCCTTGTGGTTAATCAAAAATAATTGGAATATGCAGAAAAGTACACTATGTCGATAATCAAAAATAATTCTTAATATCAAATGTTGTAATCGATGCAAATTTAAAATCAAATAACATCAGTTTTCCATAATCGAAGCAAAAATGCATAAATAACTTTAACTAATTAATTAATATATTATTAGCATCAATTTTAACTGATGTAAAAAAATAAATCATTTTGTAAAGTGATGCCACAAAAAAATAATAAACACATCGATTATATCAATTGATGTAAATACATTTTTTTCAATCACTTTTATTAAAGTGATGTAAAATGAGAGAATTTTGTATCAGTTTTGATTATGTGATGTCAAATTAAATATAAAAAAATAACTGATGTATTTTTATATCATTTGCTATAAATAACTCAAAACAAAATCATTTAATTATGTGATACAAATTAAATGATGCTAAACACACTTTTTGTAGTGAAAAGCTTACAACCATGTTATAAAACTTCATAAAATAGTAACTCTTATAAAAATTTATAAACTTTATAAATATTTTTATAGTCTGATTTAATTTATAAATGTTTGTATATATGTATTTTTATAAATGGTCTAACAAACATGTATAAATTTTTTAACGTACATGTATAAAAAGAATGTGGTTATGTATTTTAAATTATGTATTATTTTATGAATTTTTCTGAAAATTTTGGACGCTATTTGCATGTGTGTACGTTCGTACGTACTTTTATTTATCACATATTTTATTTCCTTTTTTATATATATATATATATATATATCAAGTATATCTTATTTTCAACAAGATGACATGAGCCACTAATCTACGCAGGATTTCTTAACTTTATTTTTAGAAAACAGAAAAAATATTATTTTCCTTTTTTCTGTGAATAAAAAAACTGATACTTAGGAAAATTATGTACTGAACGCCTATACCCTCAATACTGTGCTAATGGTACGTGTGTCGATTTGCCAAGGGACTTGTGCCTTAAAGACTTGTGTGTTGCACTATGTAAAAAGAAAAGGAAAGGTGGAAATGGCAATTGCTATAAGAGCGTTTTTGCCAACAAAATATGCTACTGCGGTTATCAATGTAGAGATTAGATGGTGAACCGGAGAGTCTATCAAGATCATCAACTCACGAAGTTACATCAAATTTCTTTTTTTTTTTATAAAAAAATTTGGTTTTAACAATTCATTTATGTGAATATTATTCCTAAGGTTAAATAATTACTTGTTGATCTTGATAAATATTTTCTGTTTTTCCAAAGAAAGTAAAATATACAAGCACCCAAAAGAAAAGTTAGTTAACCCTTGTTATATTCAACCAATTTTCATACTTTTCTAGAATTCTCAACACTAATTTATAACTTTCAACTGAAAACTAATCAACTATGAATAGATTGACATATATCTCTAGTGTTGGTTTCTTTAAACTTATGATGTGAGATTTTAGTACACTTTTTTGAGGAAAAGACTATTATCAGTTCATCTCGAATTGAATTTCACTCTAGCACCAATAAAATATTCTTTTTAGTTTTTCTAATGATGTCAGTAAATGAAATTTCTGTACCATATTAAGATTTACGATCTTTTAACCCAAAACTAATTGGTTAAATCTTTTCATATTCCTTCTATACTAGTGTTGTCCTTTGAAACTTCAGATGCGTATTCTAAACACTTCAATCTTGAATATGATAGCATATAGAGGAAAGAGTATCATTCAAATCAACTACTCAATCCCTATAATTTCTCTTATCATTACTATTATAACATTCTCTTGTAATTAATTAGGATTATGTCTATCTTGTATATATATGTCCTATGTATATTGAAAAAAAAAAAGAGAATCAATACAATTCTTCTAATCTATCTTTCATCACATTATCACTAGCTATACAGTTTACCATTTGTTGAGTTTTTCTTTGTTTATCTACGTTTTGTTCAAAATTTTGATGATAACAGTGTATCCCGCTTTTTTTTCTCTTCTCTATTCTCTCCTTTCTCTAGAAGTAGATCTAGATCTCTGGTGCTTTTTTTTTGTTGCTTTCCATTACAACATGATAATAGCTCCGACATGGGATTTCCTTCGCAATATTTTACAGAAACGAAAAACGTTAGAATTTCCTTCACAATATCGCAACCTATGATTTGTCGATATGTGTGGAAGTGGAAGGAACCGACTAAATAACCATCAGATACCGGGGTTGCTCGGATGAATTTACTTCAAGTACCATAAATCTATTATATTGTACGTACGTCTGTTTGTACGTTATGAAATTGACTATGAACTTTAAAAGAGATGTTTACTATGTTATTAACCGCTTATTGGCCACAAATTATCCGTAGCCCTACTTTTTTTTAAATAGTGAAATTTTATTTTTACACACCATAAAATGTCATTTGCAATGCAAATTAATTTAGAAAATTATGACTCCTTTTATGTTTTATTCTTTTAATAATTAATTAACTATAATACAATTAAAATTACTTTATGCCTCAAGTTTTCAGTCGTTATTTTTTTTTTTTTTTGCAGTTACATGAGACGGCATGCATTGACGTTATCATCATTAAACATATTACTAACCCTATCGTCTCCACGAGAACCTACGGGGATATTACCATGTTGTTCCGTACCATTGTAGCCATGTCTGTAATAGTTATAACTCTCTCTGAATTCTTTTGAAGGATCTACGAAATAGTTTTGAGTAGATGTGAAGTAAAGTGGAGGCTCAGGGTATGGCCAAAACTCAGCTCTCTTCCCGGCTCGTCTCACGGCTTTGAGCACTTTGTTTCTGTCGACGTATCCCACCACTCTCACTCTTCCCATCTCTCTCTCCACCTCTACTGAATCAACACCTGTGATTTCAATCAATTTCATCAAACCATAACCTTGTCTTTAACAAGAGCAAATATTGACAAATATTAATTAATGATATTGACATTCATAGCAAAAATAAAAGACCAATGATTATTATTTTTGACGATTTTATAGATATCTAAAACGGTTCAATAATCCATGTAGGTTTAATATGTTACCTCGGATTTTTGAGATTGCGTTCCTAACAATCCTGACGCAACCAGTGCAACACATCCTGACCTTGAGATCAACCGTCTTTGTGGCATGGATGTCAAACACAGAACATTAGGTTTCTTATGAGAAATTTTGGATGTATACATAAAAACTAATATTTTTATACGATGTACTGTCCAACGGATCAAACAAATTATGAACTAACCGGTTCTGCAAATACTCAAACTGAACTAAGGCTAAACAATTCGGTTCGGCAATTCCGCGGAAATATGAAAAATAGACCATCGTATTGGAATGGTGATAATTTGGCTCAAATGTTCATCCCAACACAATGGTCTAGCTTTTTATTTGTCCGATTGGTTCTACGATTAGTACTCTAACAAAACAATCCATAGTACTCTAACACAACAATCCAAGTCATTAAATATAGTTTGACAACAACAGAAAAAGATTCATATATATAGACCCGCTTTTATACGTTATTTACGCTATATATATTGTATGTACCTTAAGCTTAATACAAAAAGTATCATTATAATTTTATAATTTTTTATATCATCTTTACCAACCCAAACCATTGTGAATGGGAGATATTTAGGCTCTAACTCGGTATAGCAAATATCTCTAATCGAAACTGAATCAACGGATTCAAGTTAAAATAAACCGAAAAAACAACCTGCAAAGAGAGTGGGCGTCTCTTAGACATCCTGAAGTAGCTGATATGTGTGGTAGGTCTTGGATTAGACTCATGAAGGCGTCGGAAGGAGAAAATTCTTGCAATGATAGATAAAATAGACTCGAGACTTTTTGCTATAAAAGGAGACATTTACGATCGAAAATTTCGAAATAGATCATATATTGAATACTGGATTCAATATACAGATATAGAGAGATGAAAGCTTGGGAGATAGGAGAAGCTGAGACACATTGCGACATGAGTAAACAAAAGACTAATTACGGAAAGGAATATGTAGAAATTGAGATGGAGATGTTATGTAAGCAAAGTAAGCAGCTTTTTATTGTTGTTACATCTCGTGATCTTTCAAACACATGTCGACGCTCTTGCACACTTGTGCTTTTTTTCTTTAATAAATGAATGTTGTTTAAGTTTTTTTAGTTAGAAGCAGGCTTTGGCCTTATGAAGACGAAAAGCATATGCACACGTTCATATATAAAACTAATTAACTAATTTAAAGATACAATCACACATGTTACCGAAGGTGCGATAGCCTAGTAATTAGTGTAAGGAGTTAGTTTCATTGTGTCTTACGTTGATTAATTCCCTTTGAAAAGAATTAATATCCATGCCAAAGTATAATACATGAAAAAACAAAACAAAAAAGTATAATACATGCATGTCACAAAGACCAAAAACTCATTAGATTTTTAGTCAACAAAACGTTATAAATCAACGAAAACTCATTGGCGACTGCTACTGATGATTTCCTTTCTTCTCAGAGAAATCAGACTTCCAACTATTTGGGAGCTATACCCTGATGATTTCCTTCACCAGATTTTGTAATTGATAGATTGGCCTCTATAACGTAGTATAGTTATATTTCAAAATCGAAATTTGATTAAATGAGGCGTAGACGTCCAAACTGAATTGTTTAGAAAGCATAAAATTTGATAATTCTTCTGTTTCACATTGGAAGTTAAGAAGAATGCTTACTAGTATTAAGGTGGAAAGTGTTAACAAGATTAAAAATTTTGGGACTACTTTACAGTGTAAAGGAGAGATGATGAAACCCATGCTAAACCGGGTTGGGTTTGGGTTTGGGTTAATGGACCAAATAACCAATAGCATATATGTTTTTGCGTCCGATATAACTGATCACTACAGAGATTCATTTTGGTCGGTGTCAATAATTATAGACTTGGTCTTGAGTGGTGCAGGACAAAATAGTAATGCAGTTGTATAATATGATTCGGAACACCATTTAACCGTTAATCTACAAAGGATTTTCATAGTTAATAAAAGAAATGCGTCTCAACACTATAAACCGTTTTTCCAAATTCTTATACCAATATTTCTTACAGTTTTACCAAATTATATTTTTGTATTCTATTTTGCATTTATCAGTTGGTCTATGCGGTTCAGAGTGAACTGAATGAACTATGAAGAGTTACTTACAAGCCAAGGGCTTAGCCATTTCCGAGCAGCAGATTGGGGAGTTATTTTCTTTCGCTTTCTTGGAAATTTAGCATTTTGATACCAAATTTTATACTTCTATCAAATCTTTACACTAGAAAACATTTTCAAGAATTTTTTTTTTAAAAAGACTCTTCTTTGATAGGCGACATCGTGTAGAGCTACCACAACGAGCTCTATGGTTGCAAGATTGGCTAAATACTTTAGGCTTTTATTACTTAAAAAATTAATCTACTTTTTGTGTATTCAAATGCCAATAATTCTTATAGAGTTTTTCTTGATGAACATACTTTTTAGATAAAAACCCTTATTTATGTAAAAGTAGCTTGTTAATAAATAAACTTAACAGTTTAAAAACGATATGAGAACCAAGTGTTGTTAGCTCTACTCGTAAAGGGGCTTTAGGCAAAGCTTAGAGATTACAGGATTGAATGGTGCTTGGAACAGAATTAATATTACATGTTATGGTAAGAGAAATTTATAAGTTATGATTTATGAATAAATCTCACTCATAATTGATAATTAGTTTTGTTTAAACAGTTTTCTGTGCCAACTTCATATTTTTATTGCATTTAGTTTTTTTCCATGCTTAAATTGAAATGTTTAATTAATAATTTTAATATCAAAATTAGTAACAAAAAAAAGAAGTTTTGCAGAATTTTTCTAAGATCTGAAGACCGATACCATCGATTTTGTTGACTTGGCTCCACCTTTCCCTTTGATGTTTCTTCTCCCTAACATTAGCACCATGTATTTTTACCATATGTTGAGTGTATTTATTCTGAGTGTTTTTGGCATAGAAATTCATACGACAGAGTAAGACACAATAAGTTTTTGCGGCCATTAGGGGAGACCAATTGTGATTTGTGATTTGTTCATCATTCTTTTTAATAACATGAAATCAGATGTTTTGTTTATGATTTTTTGCGTGCTCACATCTCTCGTTCTAAGCAACGTTAGAGGTAATTTTCATTTTTTTAGCGTTATACATTTTTTATCTGAAATATTTTTACAATTTAACAGTTTTTTTTTTTTTTTTTTTTTTTTTTTTTTTTTTTTTTGCGGTTGACATATACAATAGAAGTGGAAGCCGTAAATTTTGGATGCAACCTTACAACATCTTTCCCTGGAAAGTGTGGAAACAATGGAAATACTGCATGCGTAAACGACGTAAAAAAAAATCCTCACGCACCAAAAAATCTGAACATTCGTTATGATGTGATCCTGGTAAAGGATCTGCCCTTGATCGTCACTCTAATGACTGGAACTTGATGAGATAGACCTTAGAAACAATCGGAGATTGTACAAGGGGTTTGGGAATCGATAGGACACACACAAGAGTCGCGGAACACTCTTGATACGCCTACTTGAATCTTCTAAGTGATATAACACACACAAAGTCGATTCAAGGTGTTTGAAGGATATGACACACCAACAAACGTGATCTTATTCTTTAAGAAAGAGTTTGAGAATAAAAGATAAGATGGTTTGATACAAAGAAGTTCAAGCGAATATAAAGAAGAAAGAAAGAAGAGATGAGTCTCACAAACATTAACTCAATCTCGGAAATAAACAAAGAACAAGCTGTCAAGTTTGAATTCGATTTAGACGCTCCTCTTGATGAAACAGCTTGGGCTTAGGCTTTGTGGACTTAGGCGAAATAGAGATCCATTCTTGCCTCATTAAAAACCTATCTCAAGAAAACCCAATGGGACAAAACTTGAGATAGGGAAAAAGAGTACAAGCCTGGATCTCAAGCCCACTTAGCCATCTTGGACTTTGGATCACAATCAGGGTGCTTGTGATCGGCTCTTTTCCCTCTTGAACCGAATCAAGGCCTTTGATGATAGCTCCAATGATTTTCTTGAGCTTCTTAGTCCTTCATCGAGTCATTGGACCACTTGGAACGCTTAAAAGATCTTCTTGATCAGCTACAAGCTCTTGTTCCTCAGCTACCTGCTCTCCATCTTCTAGTTCCAACTCCAAGTCTTTATTGTTGCTTTCCAGAATCACATCATCCCCCTCTTCTTGAAAAAGATTTGACCTCAAATCTGGATCATCTGCACAAAAAGGAGCTAAGTCAGCAACATTAAAGCTAGGACTAATATTATACTTACCTCGGAGATCTAGTTGATAAGCATTGTTATGAATCCTCTTGATGATCTTGAACGGTCCATCAACCCTCGGCATAAGTTTTGATTTCCTTTCAGCCGGGAACCTTTCTTTCCTTAGGTGAACCCAGACTTGGTCGCCAGCTTCAAAGATCATCTCTCGACGTTTCTTGTTAGCTTGTTGCGCATAGAGTTTAGTCTTCTCCTCTATATTTTTCTTGGCTTTCTCATGGATCTGTTTTACTAGCTCGGCCTTCTTTTGCCCATCGATACTAGCTCTTTCACTCAAAGGAATGGGGGTTAGATCCAAAGGAGTTATAGGATTAAAGCCATAGACAATCTCAAATGGTGAAAATTTAGAAGCAGTATGCATCGAGTGATTATAAGCGAATTCAACCTGAGGCAAACATTCTTCCCATGACTTAAGATTCTTCTTAACTAATGCACGTAGTAAAGTAGACAGAGTTCTATTTACTACTTCAGTTTGTCCATCAGTTTGCGGATGACATGTAGTGGAGAACAGAAGCTTAGTTCCTAGCTTAGACCATAACGTTTTCCAAAAATAACTAAGAAACTTAGTATCACGATCAGAAAAAATGGTCCTTGGCATGCCATGCAAACGAACTACTTCTTTAAAGAACAGATTGGCTACATGAGATGCATCATCGGTTTTATTGCATGCAATGAAATGACCCATCTTTGAGAATCTATCCACAACAACGAATATAGAATCCTTTCCTGTTCTAGTCCTAGGCAAGCCAAGTACGAAATCCATAGAGATATCAACCCAGGGGTGAGAAGGAATAGGTAATGGAGAATACAAACCGTGGGGCTTAACCTTAGACTTAGCCTGTTTACAAGTGGCACATCTTTCGTAGATTCTCTCTACGTCTCTCTTCATGTGAGGCCAGTAGAAGTGATCTTGCATCACTTTCAAGGTCTTAGTGATGCCAAAATGACCCATGAGACCTCCTCCGTGTGCTTCCCTGACTAAAAGATCTCGAATAGAACAGTTAGGAATGCATAGGCGATTATCATAAAAGAGGAACCCATCTTGCCTGAAGTAATGATCTTTTGGCAAACTTTTCACAGGATTGGTATTTTTCTCCAAAGTCAGAATCTGATGTGTACATATGTTTAAGCTGTTCAAATCCTATAAGCTTAGCATCAAGAGTAGAGATCAAAGCATACCTTCGAGACAATGCATCGGCAACTACATTGTCTTTACCTTGTTTGTACTTGATCACATAGGGAAAGGTTTCTATGAATTCTACCCACCTTGCGTGTCTCTTGTTGAGTTTTTGCTGCCCTTTTAGATGCTTAAGAGACTCATGATCCGTGTGTATGACGAACTCCTTGGGCCAAAGATAGTGTTGCCATGTTTGCAAGGCTCGGACCAGGGCATAGAGTTCTTTGTCATATGTAGGGTAATTAAGTGTGGCGCCTCCAAGTTTCTCACCAAAGAATGCTATAGGCTTCCGATCCTGCATCAAAACAGCACCAATACCTATACCAGAGGCATCACATTCGATTTCAAATGTTTTAAGGAAATCAGGTAAAATTAAGAGAGGAGCATTAGTAAGCTTATCCTTTAAGGCTCGGAATGCATCTTCTTGCGCTTGTTCCCACTTGAATCCAACTTCTTTCTTGATTATCTCAGTAAGTGGAGCAGCAATGGTGCTAAAGTCCTTCACAAACCTTCTATAGAATCCGGCTAAGCCGTGAAAACTCCTTACTTCACTCACGGTCTTGGTACTTGGCCATTCTTTTATTGCTCCTTCTCTTCATCGACCTTGATTCCATCTGCGCTTACAACAAAGCCTAAAAATACCAAGTTATCTGTGCAGAATGTGCATTTCTTAAGATTGGCATACAATTTTTCCTTCCTAAGCACATCTAAGACAGATTTCAAATGCAAGACATGATCGTTTAGACTCTTACTATAGACCAATATATCATCAAAGAAAACGACCACAAAAACACCTATAAACGCCCTAAGAACATGATTCATTAATCTCATGAAGGTGCTAGGTGCGTTTGTCAAGCCAAAAGGCATGACTAACCACTCGTATAGGCCATGCTTAGTCTTAAAAGCAGTTTTCCACTCATCTCCCTCTTTCATCCTAATTTGATGATATCCACTCTTAAGATCAATTTTAGAGAAGATGCTAGACCCATGCAACTCATCTAACATGTCGTCTAACCTAGGAATTGGATGCCTATACTTAACCGTTATATTGTTAATTGCTCGGCAATCAACACACATGCGCCAGCTACCATCCTTCTTAGGCACAAGTAATACGGGCACAGCACAAGGGCTCATGCTCTCTCTGATGTGGCCCTTCTCCATGAGCTCGTTCACTTGTCTTTGTAGCTCCTTAGTTTCTACCGGGTTGGTTCTGTAGGCAGGTCGGTTGGGTAATGAAGCTCCGGGGATGAAATCTATTTGATGTTCGATGCCTCTAATTGGTGGCAACTCCTTAGGATTATCCTCCGGGAACACATCATTGTAAGCCTGCAATAGGTCATTCATTTCACTCGGTAACACCGGTGTGATGTTAGTGAGACTAACAAGAGACTCTTTAAAGACAAATAGTAAAACCGGTTGCTTGGATCAAGGCTCTCGCTACATCACCAGCTTTTAAGAAAAAGTTCGATGATTTGTTCACGAGTTTCTCCTTTTGCTTGAGTTGGAGCTGATCTTGATACACTTCTTGAGGTGTTAGAGGCACCAAAGTTGTTTTCCTGCCATTGAAAACAAACAAATGCTTATTAGTAAAACCATCGTGTATAACTCGTCTATCGGATTGCCATGGCCGGCCAAGAAGGATATGTCCAGCCTCCATAGGCAACACGTCACAAAGGATCTCATCTTGATATCGTCCGATGGTTATAGGGACTGAGACTTGGCTATTCACTTTCAGCTCTCCATTCTCGTTCAACCATTGAAGCTTGTATGGCCTCGGATGCTTCTTAACGCTTAAACCTAGCTTCTTGACCATAGCCTCACTTGCGACGTTAGTACAACTGCCCCCATCGATGATAAGACTACATACTTTCCCTTGAACAAGGCATCGAGTGTGGAATAGGTTCTCTCTTTGCTCTTGTTCTTCTGTCTTGGACTGAACACTTAGAGATCTTCGGGCAACTAATAGCGAACCTTGAGCCGGCATCTCCTCGTACTCGGTCATAGGTTCATATTCAGGACTTTCTTCCTCAGACTCGATTTCTCCATCGTCTTTGAGAATCATAACTCTTTTATTAGAGCACTCATTGGCGTAATGACCTCGGCCTTGGCACTTGAAACACTTTAAATCTCTAGATCGACTTGTGGAGGCTTCGGTTTTGCCTTTTCCTTCTTGTTGAGTCACGAACGGCTTGTTCTCAGGCTTTGGCATCGCTATTTGCTTTCCATCTCTTTGATAAGGGTTGAGCTTCTCCTCCTTTAGGTAACTTGGCCTAGAAGTTGTAGATACGGCTCCATAGTTTGATTTTATCACCGGTTTCCTCTTAAGTTGTTGCTCGATAAGGATGGCCTTATGCAACATTTCCTCAACCTCCACGTAATGCTGCATCTCAAGCCGATCCTGTATATCTCGGTTTAAACCACCTAGAAACCTTGACATTGTGGCCTCTCTATCTTCGGTGATATCAGCTCTCAACATAAGGGTTTCCATTTCTTGATAGTATTCTTCCACTGATCGGTTGCCTTGAGCCAATCTTCTGATCCTCTGATGCAATTCCCTATGATAATGGCTCGGCACAAACCTCTTCCTCATGATAGTTTTCATTTTCTGCCAACTCTCAACAGGGTATTCTCCATTTCGTCTTCTAGAAGTAACCAATTGATCCCACCAGCTTAAGGCGTAGTCGTAGAACTCGGTGGCCGCGACCCTTACTCGGTTAATCTCGGTGTAATGTTGACAGTTAAAGACTAATTCGATCTTTTTCTCCCACTCTAAGTAACCGTCCGGATCATTTTTCCCATGAAACGAGGGAATCCGCAACTTGATTCCTCCTAATCCGTCTTGGAGAGGTATAGGCTCGTCTCGGGCTCGTCTTTGGCGTCGGTGATGGCTCCTAGAAGAGCTGCTATCTCGGCTGTAGTACGACTCAGCCGCTTCATCTCTTGGTGGTCTATGTTGTTCTCTGGTTCTCTCAGGCGAGTGCACGCGATTCCTTCTCCTTGTTTCTTGATCAGTTTTCGCATCGGATTGGTGTTGCATCTCTTGCTTGAACACTTCAAACTGAGCAGCCATTAGTTCTTTCATTTTTGCGGTCATAGCCTCCATCAGAAGCTTGTTGTCTCGTTGTTGGCTGGTTTCTTCTTCTTCGATCATGGCTTTTCCTGAAAATTTTCACAAGCAAAGTCACTAGCGATCGGTTCTGTTTTTTTTTTCAGAATCTCGAAAGACACTTTAAGAAAATTTTAAAGACGATCTTAAACGGATGCGAGTAGGAAGTTGATCGGTCAGTTTAAGACTAGTATGATCTAGATGTCTTGTGATGCAAACAATCAAGTTCTCGACAGATCTAGCACAAGTGATCATAAAATACAGATTAGAACTCGAAAAGAACTTAGATTTGAATCGGTACAACCTGATACACGACAATCCAGTGATTAGAATGGTGCTTTGATACCACTTGATGTGATCCTGGTAAAGGATCTGCCCTTGATCGTCACTCTAATGACTGGAACTTGATGAGATAGACCTTAGAAACAATCGGAGATTGTACAAGGGGTTTGGGAATCGATAGGACACACACAAGAGTCGCGGAACACTCTTGATACGCCTACTTGAATCTTCTAAGTGATATAACACACACAAAGTCGATTCAAGGTGTTTGAAGGATATGACACACCAACAAACGTGATCTTATTCTTTAAGAAAGAGTTTGAGAATAAAAGATAAGATGGTTTGATACAAAGGAGTTCAAGCGAATATAAAGAAGAAAGAAAGAAGAGATGAGTCTCACAAACATTAACTCAATCTCGGAAATAAACAAAGAACAAGCTGTCAAGTTTGAATTCGATTTAGACGCTCCTCTTGATGAAACAGCTTGGGCTTAGGCTTTGTGGACTTAGGCGAAATAGAGATCCATTCTTGCCTCATTAAAAACCTATCTCAAGAAAACCCAATGGGACAAAACTTGAGATAGGGAAAAAGAGTACAAGCCTGGATCTCAAGCCCACTTAGCCATCTTGGACTTGGATCACAATCAGGGTGCTTGTGATCGGCTCTTTTCCCTCTTGAACCGAATCAAGGCCTTTGATGATAGCTCCAATGATTTGCTTGAGCTTCTTAGTCCTTGATCGAGTCATTGGACCACTTGGAACGCTTAAAAGATCTTCTTGATCAGCTACAAGCTCTTGTTCCTCAGTTACCTGCTCTCCATCTTCTAGTTCCAACTCCAAGTCTTTATTGTTGCTTTCCAGAATCACATCACGTTGTGATTGTGCTGATAAATATGTGTGGCCGGGTACGCCTCCTCAGCGTTGGTGTAGATGTATGTATGTTTGCTAAGCTTTACTTAATTTCCATAACCAAAATCTCATTACTAATATATAAACAAGAGGCTACCGAGAGTCATTAGCCTCTTTTTTCAAACTAATGTTTTTTTTGTTGTTGTCAAATTAGACTACATTTGGTTTTAAATAAATATATTTGTGAGTTCCCTTATATGTATAAAAGAGTTTGTGTTTCTTCTTATGTAATTGTGTGCGTGGGTAAGAAATATTGGCCAATGACTATGTCAAAACATGAAACAATCTTTATCCCACACCAGTTGATACAGTCGAGTTTTCAAATCCAACAAATATCGCAAGTGCATGGATATATCACTTGTAGCACAATTATGATCGATTCCATTAGGAGAGTTCAATAACACACAAGAAATTCAAATCACTATGTAAGCTAAACTATTGATTTTAAGGTTTTTTTCAATTATGAGACTAAGCAAACTCAAATTCTAATTATAATAAAGCAAAACAAAGAGAGCAATTAAAGAATGAACTCAACGATCAAAACAAAGTCAACCCGACAAGACATAAGCAAAGATTGATCCATTACAGGAAGTATATCGTATGGTCCATGGAAAAGGGTTATTGCATTAGGAATGATTAACGTTAACTGACGAAGCTAGCTTTTCTATGACATTTATTCATCTAATCATATAACCAATCAAATTTTCTAATTGCAATCATCAGATTAATTATCTTTACGCATAACTTTGAATACAAACCTACAATTCATCTTAATTATTAATTTTCGTTGTCTAAGAATGAAAAGCATACATTAGAGTTGATCTAGATATTTTATAAATCAACTTCCGGGCATAAACATCAAAGATCTAAAGTTGTATTTATCTACCTACAAACATTGCTCAATAAAGTTCTTGTCCAAAAACTCCCTTCATCGTCGATAAAAGAAATTCAAACTCAGCATTTAAAGGGATAAACATCATCTAGATCCCATTAAACCAAGAACATGAGAATCATTTTCACCATTCAAAATCAAAAGATAGCCACGAACTGTTCTACTAGGATGCCATGAGTCATCAAGAAGGAGCAACACTAATAATATTCATCGATCTGTAGCATTTCTACAAATTCATCTTCTGACTTTAAAAGACATGTTTGTAAGCCGCCAACTTTCCGCTTTATGGGCAATGAGTTGTAGAATTTCTAAAGGTGCGAGGTCTAACCCTTTAAAGACATCTTTCTTGTCTCACCTTCTAAACATTAATCATGAAAAAAAACAGATAATTGATCTTCTTTAATCGATGATTCGTTTGTCTGCCATATAAAATAGTTAAGTTTGTATGCAAAATAATTACTACTCAGGATCACGAAGCCCCCTTGAGAGAATGGAGTCATTGACAAAGCCCACAACAAGATCGACATAAACAATTTTAAGTCTTAGCACAAAAATTAAATCATAATAAACCGAATAAATATTAAAAAAATAACAAAATCTTAAGATTTTCAAATTGATTATCCACGTACTTATGTTAAATTAGATTCTAAATAAAAATCTCGTTAAATTATTTATAATTTATTTTTTATGATTCACAATTTAAAAATTAGAAATTAATTCATATATTAATCATAAATCTGATAAACATTCTCTCTAAATACGTAATTTCATGTTTTTTTCTACTTACTTTACTCTCTATTTGCAATTTTCCTTTAAGAATAAAACATATTCATTAATTTTCTTTTTTTTTGAAATAAATAATAAGAATAGAAAGTTTATATTAATACATTGCCACATGTCAAGATTTTTATTAATCTGACAATGAGTTATAAAAATCTTATGTGTCACGTCCACATTGAGAGATTTAGTATTATATAATAAGATTTTTTTTTAAAAAAATTACAATGAAGAAATGTGAACTTCTTATAAAAAAATATATCCACTAGTATTATGATCAAATTTAAAACTATAAAAATAGAGTTTCTTTTTGTCATTTAATAAAATTGTAATTTAAAAAAAATAATAGAAAAATTGAAGAAAATAGAAAATGTAAAAAATATACGTTAAAAGAATATCAAAAACTAGAACAAGAAAACATAAAAGAAAAATAATCAAAAGAAAACAAAATTAACACGATTAATGATGATTTGAATTCTGAAAGCCATATAAAGAAAAGACATAATCCAAATCTAACCAACCTAAATAAAGGACCTGATAATAATCAGTTGGAGTCCAAACTAAAAACAAATCACATATTTATATGGGAACTCAAGCTTTTGGTACATTATAGGGAGTCTAGGGCGACCACCATTTTGGTTATACGATGAGCACGGCTCTGGATTTATTGCCTAATATTGTAATTATGAGCTTTATGAGAAAAAGCGTCAGTGTTCAACTGCAATAAGCCAATAATCAGTCAGTTTGGTTTGACCTTAAATTAATAATTTTTTAAAAAATAAATCAAAATACAGCTAGTGGATAATAAAGAAAGAAATTTTATATGAAATTAATTTTTATTTATTTTAAAAAAGAAATGATCCTAGAAATTTGAATTAGTAGCGGATTACATTTTAATACTAAATCTAGAAATTAACCCTCGTGATACGCGAGATTATGATATCTTAAATATTATTTTAAAAATTAATAATAAAATATATTGGATATATATAAGAATGCATATATTTATACAAATAAATTTTATATTTATTGAATAAAAGCTTGATTTATTATTGACTTATAAATTTTATACTATCTTTAACTAATGATAATAAATAGTGCGGTTAAAATGAAAAAAAAATATATTTCTTTCATTCGTATTCGTTGACAATGAAGTAAAATATTTTTCAGGCTAATTAAAAAAAATTATTATAATAATCAATTTTACCTAATAACTGAGTTTAGTGGTCGGTCCATGAACTATTAAAAATTAATTTTATCATGTTTAACTATTTCTGAATATAATATAACAATTTTAAATTTAGGTTTGATAAATATTCAAATTAGAAAAACAACAACATAATTTTAAAAGACAAATCATAATATCAAATATACCATATATTATAAAAGCTAATATTTTCAATTGTGAAATTTGTTTTGTGGACATTGAAAAATTAAAATTATGATTCGTTTATATCGGACTAACCCGTTTATTTAATCCATTTTCCACTGAATTAAAAATATAACCTTGAAATCACCACTTCTAATATGCACCGTTTAATGACTCTCATTCCACCTTGAAATATTTTTTTTAAATTAATTTTTCATGTCAAACTTTTGGTAAAAATAGTTTAAAATATATTTTTTATATAATCAATTAAAATATAGAAAATTATAATTGAAAAAATTCCACCACTTTTTGATATTTTTGCATTTTTTATTAGGAAAATAATTATTTTTCATGTTCTTTTAATTGATTGTACTATATGATATCATTTAAAATAAAAATATAAAAATATAATTTAAAAAAAAATTAAATAGTAAATATATTCTATTAAATGAGAAATACATATTTTTTTAATATTTTTGAAAAACAATTATATATTTTTAAATTTTAATTATTCTTTGATATTTATAATGGTATTTTATGTAATATTTTATAAAACAATGTTCCTTTTTAAAAAATGGCTGCTTATAAAATGCTAGTATTGTAACATCCTTATCTCGCCTTCCTAAAAAAACAAAAATAATTTGTTCTTTAAAATTTTTTATCCTAAAACAAACCCACACAACATACACTATTATATAAAGACATTTCCAATTTGTTTATAGCAATTAATCACACAACAAACAAGGGTAACCCTAGTATGCAACTACCAAATAGTGGGCCCTGGTCAAAACCAGTTATAGTGTGCAATCCCTCGGACAACCATGCCTCCCCGGAAAGGTAAAACCGGAACAGTCCCGACTAATATCTAGTCTACCACCGGCCCATTAGTCAGGTCCATTCCACTCAGTCACACAGACTGTGCCAGCAGTCACTCAGACAGGCTTTTACCAGCGGTCACAGACAGGCTATTTAAACACTTGGTGGATTGCTCTATCCACTGCCCGCGATGGCTGCTGTATGGTCACACAGACATCAGCCCAGACAACAAACAACACTGACCCCCAAATCTAGGAGCCAGAGAACTAACAAGTTCTACTATCAACACATATCCACCCAAACAATCAATTCATTCATTTATTTGGAAGGTCATTCCATTATTAAGATGCACATTTGTTGATACAAAGTTGTAAAAAAAAAGGAAAAATAAAGAGGTTAACATCAGACAAAACCATATTTTAGGGTTCCTTAAGTCCAGATCCATATTCAGATTTCTTGTGTATCATTCCACCATCATCCAACAATCATCAACAATCAGGCAACATAGATACAGGTTCTAATCAATTCTAACAACCCTAACAATCAGATCGAAGCTTTGGTTTAAACAAAGACTAGTTAAAGACAACTATGCATATGTAAGAGAGGATGAAGCAATAAGTCCTCACCTTTGAACTGAGGGCTGTGAGACAGGAGGAGGAGAAGGCGTAAGAGATGTAGAATGAAGGGGTGATCCATCATCACTGGTTCCAAACTCAAAAGGAGGAGGAGAAGGAGGCGCAGACATCACGACAAGGAGGAGAAGCTTCGGCTGGAAGGAGAAGAGCTCGGCACAGGGAAGGAGAAGGAGGAGAAAATGTGGCTAGGGTTCTTTCTCTTAGGGTTTAGGAGGATTAATGAGAGATTAGGGCAATAATTAGGTATTTATACTAAAGATTAGTTTAGTTGGGCTAAGCAATGGGGTTCACATGAATTAAAAAACATTATAAAAGATTAATTAAAAAGGAAATGGTTTAATTAAATTAATTCAGATTAGGAGTTGGTAATAACCGACATTTAAGAGAACCGGAAGTCGGGTTGTTACAAGTATAGAGATCAAAAAAGAGATTATGCGCAAAGAATGAACAAACAAAAAAACAGATTTGATGACAAAAAGAAAAAAAAAAGAGAATAAACTTACCACCAAAGAATAATTAATATCAAATGTCAACAAACCAGTTTGTTCATG